CGCCCTCCTCCTGGCCCCCTTGCTTGGCCAAGGTAGGGAAGCCCAGCAGAAGCAAGCACAGCGCCCTGTCCAGCGGGAGCCTCCAGTTCCGAGCCCTGAGCAAGGAGGACCACGGCGAGTGGGAGTGCATCGCCACCAACGTGGTCACCAGCATCACTGCCAGTACCCACCTGACCGTCATCGGTACGGCCGCAGGCAGGCAGGGGTCTGGGTGCTGGGGACTGTGGGCGTCTCTCCCTGTCAGTCCACCCTGAGCCGGAGCCTCCGCAGGTCGCCGGAGCCCTCTGCGGGCTCTGTGAGGGCGGGGACGTGGGGCCTCTTCTGGGAGGTCTCTTTTGTCCCCAGCAACCCCCCGACACAGAGCTGAGGCCCCTGCGTGGCCAGTAGCCGTGGCTCGGAGCTCTGAGGCTGGGGCCCGCGGGGAAGCTGGGAGGCAGGAACGGGGGATCTGGGAGGAGGATGCCCCGAGATGAGATCCCTGGTGAGGCCTGGCACAGAGCTGGGGACCGTTCACCTCTCCTGGGGCACCATCGGGCATTCTGCTCCCGCTAACCGGCCTGAGGTGCGTGCACCGTTTTGCCTGCGCTTCTGGGCGCTAACAGCTGCAGTGGTAGCCACAGCCAACACGCCGGGAGCGTTTCCCGCCCGTTTCAGGCACTGACCAGCGGTGCCTGGCCATGTACCACTTGGGAGGGGCAGCCGCGATGGCCCAGGGCATGTGCGTGGACGTGAGGCCGGTGGAGTGGGCACCTTGCTCAGCGCCGCCTCACGGATGCGTGGTGGGCAGGGCAAGCCAAGTTGAAGTTCTTCACTGCTCACGCCCGAGTTCGGGTGCGTGTGGCTGTCTCCTGAGGCTGGGGAACCCTATAGGAGAGCGATTTGGTTTTTTTTGGCTTTGCCTGTGTCTGAAAGGGAGTTTCTGTGCTCAGAGGCGGGCACAGGGCTCTGTCCTCGGGTGATGGAGTGGCCAGGTTTCCCTTCGGCCCACGCTCCCAGGGCTCGTGCCCCTCCTGCCGGGTGGACTAGGTGGCACGGTGGGCTGGATTTCCTTCTCGTATCCTCCGACCCAGCAGGCCAGGGCGCCAGCTCCTCCCAGCGCCCCCAGCCCCAGCCCCTCCACGTGGGGTGCTGCCTTCTGCTACTCTGTAGCAGGGTTTGCAGGGGCCCAGCTCGGGGGAGGGAGGCTCAGTTCTTTCGATCTGAGAGGTCTCCAATTGGTCTCCAGGCACCAGCCCCCACGCCCCGGGTGGAGTCCGGGTCCAGGTCTCCATGACAACTGCCAATGTGTCCTGGGAGCCCGGCTACGATGGAGGATTCGAGCAGACATTCTCAGTTTGGTACGGACCTCTGTGAGTCAGCCCCGCATGCTTTGCTCTCTGCTTCTCCCTCCCCACCCCCACTTCAGTCCGCGCCTGGGTAGGTGGGGTTCTGAGAAGGAGATGGTTCTTCACCAAACCCCACAGGAAGAGGTGTGTTGACGCAGTGGCTAAGGGCTTGGGGGGTGGGTGGGTGTGTACCTGGGGGACTCTGAGCGCCCCTGTATTCCCAGCCAGAGGTTTGGGAGGCTGGGGCCTGGGCTGTCCATTGCCCTCTTCTTTCTCCCCCGCTGACCTCACTGTTGTGACCTTGTGTCCTTGGCCCATGCTGCCTTTCGGTCCCCCGGTCCTCTGGAGTCTGGGGGAGTCTCCTGATCTCCAAGGGCATTGTAAAGCAGCCCAGCCGGAAGTGCGGAAGCTGGTTTTTATTCTGTGGCCCCCTCCCCGGGGGTTACAGAAACCAGTGGGGAGGGGGACTCCCCTTCCTGGCCAGGTCTTCAGCCCATGCACGTTCCCTCTAGGACCCCGTGTCTCTATTGTGTTCATGTCTCTTATGCATTTAGCCAGATTCAGCGATTGGACATCCTTGCCCAGACCTGGGGGTAGGTCAAGATCAGAATCTGGCTGAGGACCGGAGGGTTAGAAATGGGAGAGAAAGGCCACAGCCGGCCCCTCCCATTGGATCGCCCTCCCCCACATTGCTCTCCTGAGCCAAGAACTGCCTGCCTACACCATGGGCATCCCTTACGGGGTGGAGGGATGAGCCCCTCACTTCTTCCTCGAGAAGGAAGAGACCTGTCTCCCCTGGGTGGGCATCAGCCCTGGGAGGAGGAAGCTTCAGATCCAGGAGGAAAGGCCTGGAGATTCAGGGAGAGCCCCCGATACACCTCTAACAGCGAGGGGCGCTGAGAGGGAGCCTGCTCCTTCCCATCATGGGGACGTGGTGGGTTTTCCCAGCATATTGAGTTCTGGAGCGGCCAGCTGGGCCCAGGTGGTGAGCTGGGGGGACTCTGAGCTGGGGGGACCCCTCCCCTTATCTCTAGGTCTCCCGGCAGGGTGGGGGCAGGGCGGGGTTCCTCACCACCCTCCTGGGTGACCCCTGCTACATCCTGGTCTGCTGGGCAGCTCCCTCGCTAGGGCCACGTTGGGTGTGGCCGAGCCACCTTTGGGGATGCCAGGGGGCAGGTCTGGGCATCGGTAGGGGTTTCGTTGGCTGCTTGTGGCTCTGCTCCACGCTGCTGCTCACCTGTGTTTCTTTTCACTCTTTGCTCACTCACTGTGGTGCCTGGGCAGGGAAGGGCAGGTGAAAAGGTTGGGAGGTCTCCTTCCCTCCGTTCTTTCCGATGACCTCTCACTGTGTAATGACATACATTTGGTGCTAGCATTTTTTTTCCTGTGTTTTTCACCGCCTCAGCTTCAACTCCTGGGCATACATGGTACTGAGCCTTCAACCTACAGGGGAACCTATTGGGCACCCACTAGCTCAGGCCTTGAGGGCTGTGTGGCATCTCAGTCCACGGGGCGACGGCTCCTTCCAGTGGTGATGCCGGGCACTGCACCCGTAGGAGATGCAGATGGAGCTGGGTGGTGGTGGGCTGTGTAGAACAGGTGTCGGGGTGACCTTCCCCTTCATTGTGGTTTCTAACCCGTCAGGCCTCAGGGAAGCTGGTCCCCACTCTGGGGAAACCCCAGGCCATCTTTGTCGTGTACTCAGGACCTACGTCCGCCTCCGACTCTAACCTGGTTGAACTGAGAGAGCCCCCTGTGACTCCACGTCCCACTGTTGGCTGTCCTTGCGAGGGTGGGTGGCCGAGGTCACCTGAGTGTCGGTAGTCCTGCTGTTGCCAAATTGCTCATCGTCACGGTCATGCTGTGGTACCTGCCTCGTTTCCAGTGTCCTCAGAGCCTCTCTTAGGGTTGTGACCAGGCTGAGATGATCCCAAAGCACAGTTGGTAATTTGACCGGTGGATTTTTTAATTTTTATTTAAATATTTTTATTGATTTCAGAGAAAGGAAGGGAGAGGAAGAGAGAGAAAGAAACATCAATGATGAGAGAGAATCATTGACTGGCTGCCTCCTGCACACCCCACACTGGGGATTGAGCCCGCAACCTAGGCGTGTGCCCTGACCGGGAATTGAATGGTGACCTCCTGATTCATAGGTTGATGCTCAACCACTGAGCTATGCGGCTGGGCTTGACCCGTGTTTTTTTAAAAATTATTTTATTTTTATTTTGTTGATTTCAGAGAGGAAGGGCGAGGAAGAGAGAGATAGAAACATCAATGATGAGAGAGAATTATTGATCGGCTGCCTCATGCACATCCCCTACTGGGAATTGAGTCCGCAACCCAGGCATGTGCCTGTGGCCAGAATCGAACCTGGGACCCTTCAGTCGCAGGCCGACACTATCCACTGAGCTAAACCAGCCAGGACTTGACCAGTGTTTTGAGCATGACTTACACCTGAGTGTCCCTTGTAGAAGAGGAGGTGCCACAGGGGCTGGTGACCTGGCATTGTGAGGGGTGGCCCATCGAAGCCGGGTGGCCACCCTTCCTTGGCCGTGACCTCTTCCTTGAACCTGGGGAGGCCAGCCCAGCGCCGCCGCCTCCAGGAGGACCGTGCATGCTCTCGGTGTCTCCAGGGTAACCCACCCACCCTCTTGTCTTCGATCCTCTCTCTCTGCTGTGGCCAGGATGAAGCGGGCGCAGTTTGGACCCCATGACTGGCTGTCCCTGCCAGTGCCCCCGGGGCCCAACTGGCTGCTGGTGGACGCCCTGGAGCCTGAGACGGCGTACCAGTTCAGCGTCCTGGCCCAGAACAGGCTGGGGACGAGCGCCTTCAGCGAGGTGGTCACTGTGAACACTTTAGGTGAGGCCCTGCGCCTCGGTGCTGAGGGTGTTTCCCGGAAGACCTGGGGTGGGTCAAGGTCCCGCGTGGTCCGGGCGGTGGCAGGAGGGGTTCCAGAAGCTGACATTGCCGTGCCTGCTGCGTGCCAGGCGCCTTCCTGGGGGTTTCTGCAGTCCTGTCACTAGAGCTCCCGGGAAAGATGGGTCGTTCCATTTTGTGGGGCTCGTCTGTACCAAAGCACCTTCCCCCACGTCACTTTGGGCTGATTCCTGGTGCGTCCTTAGCTGGACGGAGGAGGCTTTGAATTTGTCCTTCCTGGTCAGGCCACGTGTCTGCGCCTTCCTGTGGCTTCACGGGTCAGGGGCTGGGAATCCTTCCTCCTCCTGTACTTCGGCCGGCACTTCCCTCTGGCCCCGGCTTCGTTTGGTGCCAAGCGTGTGGCTGACCCTTCCTGGGCTCAGCGGCCACGGCCGGCACTTCCCTCTGGCCCCGGCTTCGTTTAGTGCCAAGCGTGTGGCTGACCCTTCCTTCCTGGGCTCAGCGGCCCCTCCTCCCACCTGGGGCCAGAGCGGGCAGCCAGGAGCAGGGGGCACCACCCCAGCCTGCTTTACTGCCACCTGGGGGGCAGCAGGGACAGTGCCAGCACTGCTTGGGGTCTCCCCGTCGAGTCTTGATTCCCCCCTGGGCCTCGAGGGGAGCTGGAAGAGCAAACTGTGTGCAGGAAGATATCCCTGCTTCCTTGGGAAGAGAACCAGAGATACGTTTGCAGTAGTTTTGTAAAGATGCTATCTTATTAAAAAGCTGATTGCATTTAATGTGTCCTCCTTCCGTAGCTCCCATTTTATCCCTTCTTCTTCTTTTTAAAAAAATTGATTTTAGAAAGAGGGAGGGAGAGAGAGATAGAAACATCAATGAGAGCCCTAGCTGGTTTGGCTCAGTGGATAGGGCGTCAGCCTGTGTAGCAAAGGGTCCCGGGTTCGATTTTGATCAAGGGCGTGTACCTTGGTTGCAGGCTCCTCCCCGGCCCGGGCCCTGTTCCAGGTGCGTGCAGGAGGCAACCAATTGATGTGTTTCTCTCACATTGATATTTCTCTCTGTCCTTCCCTCTCTCTTCCACTCTCTCTAAAAATCAATGGAAAAATATCCTCGGGTGAGAATTAAAAAAGAAAGAGAGAAAGAAAGAAAGAAAGAAAGATCAATGAGAGAGAGAGAGACATCGATCGGCTGCCTCCTACACATCCCCTACTGAGGACTGAGCCCGCAACCCGGGCATGTGCCCTGACTGCGAATTGAACCAGTGACCTCTGGGTTCATGGGACGATGCTCAGTCCACTGAGCTGCACTGGGAGAGCCACAACGGCCGGGCCCATTTTGTTCCTTCTGTGGAACTGGGCTCCTCCTAGATGTTGGAAGTGCCCTGGACACAGGAGCCCAGGCGCTGGCCCACAGCCACGCCGCCTTCCTGTGGGGGGGAGGGCTCTCTTCTGGGACACCCTGGCCCCTGAGATGATGCCTGCACGGGCGTGTGGCCTGTGACCATCGCCTCAGGGCCATGAGGGACACATGCTGAGCCAGAGATCGCATGGACGGCGAGGCCACGGCGACCTCAGCACTGTCTCCCTTCTCTCCCGCCTCAGCATTCCCCATCACAACCCCAGAACCCCTGGTGCTGGTTACCCCACCGCGGTGCCTCACAGCCAATCGGACCCAGCAGGGTGTGCTGCTGTCCTGGCTCCCACCTGCCAACCACAGCTTCCCCATCGACCGCTACGTCATGGAGTTCCGTGTCGGAGAGCGCTGGGAGATGCTAGACGATGCCATCCCAGGCACCGACGGAGACTTCTTCGCCAAGGATCTGTCCCAGGTGAGCATGGAGCTCCCCCTGCTGCTGCTGCCCAAATTCTGGGAGTGACAGGACTCCTGGAGTCCCTCCCTGGACGCGGATCTGTGAAGTCCGGCCACGGACTGATGGACCACACACACCCTGTTCATGTCTCGCCCAGAGCTGCCCATGGTGACTGGGGTTCCCCAGACTCAGGACCAGCTCTCCCAGGGGCAGTGGGGGTTGCATCACTGAGGAATTTCTCCAAGCGCAGACACACAAGCGAGGGCAGGGGACAGGGGGGCAGGGCAGGCCCGGGCTGGGTCGCCAGACACTGACCTGAGCTCCTTGCTGGGAGTCCAGCTACGATGAACAGGAGTTCCCAGGACTATCTTTAGCTTCACCCTTTAACGGTTCAGAGCCCGGGGCATACATTATCTTTTTCCAGCCGACCTCCTTTAGCCGGAGAGAGAAAGCCGCCTATTCCCTGGGAAAAGACAGTCTCGCCTACCTTCTGTCTCCCTTCCCTGGACACTCAGGGCTGGAATTGGCTCGTGGCTCCTGCGAGCCCCAGAGTGCCTCTCTTCCCATCTTTCCTCTCCATGATCTCACTTGACATCAGTCGTGGTCAGAGTATTTACACCACAGCAATTGGCAAAGGCTACAAACCAGAACTTCTTTTTTTTTTTTTTTTCCCTTGAGAGCGGGTTGTTACATGCTTCAGGACCACTGCTTTGGGTGCCGTGTTCCACGACACGTCCTGGCGGGGTCAGTGGTGGTTCGGTCGGTGGCGGGTCAGTGGCAGGCCAGTGGCCGCTCAGGTCCCTGGCTGATGGGTGTTGTCCCTCTGGCTGTAGGACACCTGGTATGAGTTCCGGGTTTTGGCCGTCATGCAGGACCTGGTCAGCGAGCCCAGCAACATCGCCGGCGTCTCCAGCACAGGTACTTGGGGGTAGGGGTCCTTTTACAGCTGCGGGGACACAGCCCAGAGCTCCAGGGAGTCAGGTCCACGTTCCTGCTTCCACGGCAGGTGGGGTTTCGCCACCTCGAGCTGTGCCGACCTCAGTGTACGTAAGGAAGTCGTAGAGAGGAAGTTAGCAGATCTTCTCATACTGTTGTCAGAAAGAACTGGTTTAAGTTCTTTTTCTTTCTTTCTTTTTTTAATATATTTTTATTGATTTCAGAGAGGAAGGGAGAGGGAGAGAGAGATGGAAACATCAATGATGAGAGAGAATCACTGATCGGCTGCCTCCTGCACGCCCCCTATGGGGGATCGAGCCCACAACCTGGGCATGTGCCCTTGCCTGGAATCGAACCTGGGACCCATCGCTCTGCAGGCCGATGCTCTATCCACTGAGCCATACCGGCTGGGGCAGAGTTATTTTTCTATCAACTCCATTTCCTCCCATGTGACCCTCTGTAATGGGGTGGGACCAGAGCAGAGAGAACATGTCGTCAAGCATCCACTGAGCGCCTGCTGTAAGACCGCTGTAGAATTGTGGTGCTTTTATTGGGAAAATTGCCATTGGGTGGTGTTGCCCTTCACTCCTTCCTCTCCCTAGATTTTTTTCAGGCTCAATAAGGCCCCCTCCCTGGCATTTCCTCAATTTCACTTTTTTTTTTCTTGCCTCTGGTCCCACGTCTACACATCTCTCTCCAGCTATAGTGTCTGAACTCCGCAGGTCCCTCTGTCTCCCCGTGGAGCAGCTCCCTTGGTTCCCTAGACTCAGGACCAGCTCTGGGGCAGTGGGGGGAGGTGCTTGTTTAGTGAGAAAGCAAGGGTACCATTTCCATGGGCACTGCTCCCCGGGGACCAGTTGGCAAGGAGCTGGGCCAGGCATGGGGGCAGGGGAGGGGACAGGGAAGGACAGAGGTGGCATGAGAGTGTCAGGTGGAGTGGAGGTGACTTCTGTGCTCTGTGGGGCTTTTTAAATTTTTATTTATTTTATTTAAAAAATATTTATAATCTCACAATTACATATTTATATACGTATATTTAAAATATA